CTGCTCTTACCCGGAAGGGGTCCTGTAAGCAGTTAGGGAAGCGGAAGCCAGCCTGTGATGGAGAACCTCTATTTAGTTCTATTTTCCTGGAAGCCTTCAGTCCAATAGTGGTAGTGTTGCCTTTTCCTTACATAGGTAGATACATGCATGCCGTTTAGTTTTCGTTCTATTTACTGAAAGATACCGTTGGGGTACACATGAAGGTGGTAAAACCACAAAGGAAGTCAAGGGAATGAGTGATGGATTTTGTCTCCCAAACCCATTCTGCCCATCTCCCCTGGTAACAGAGTTGTAATTGAGCAGCATGTGGATGGCCGTGTGACAAAAGTCTTGCTATTGGAGCCTAAGTAGAAGTGATGTGCTGCTTCGGGGTCTGGGTCTAAGACTTTAGGGTGTCTTTCCCATTATTTCTTTCCCCTTTATAGCTGGCTGGCACCCAGAAGTGCCGATGACAGCTTCAGCCACACAGTAAAACATCCTAGCGACAGAAAACAAAGATACGAGGAATCTGTTTCCCTGAATGATCATTTAGAGCAGGAGCCGCTCACCAGCCTGGACTGTTCACATGGGTCTAGGTGTGAAAAAGAAACACTTCTTCATTTTCTAATGCAGTATCTTTTTTTTTTTTTTAAGATTTATTTATTTGACAGTGAGCTGGGGGGTGGAGCAGAGGGAGAGCGAGAGAATCCTCAAGCAGACTCCTTGCTGAGCACGGAACCCAACACGGGGCTCGATCCCAGGACCCTGAGATCATGACCTGAGCCAAAATCGAGTCACCTGCTTAACTGACTGAGCTACCCAGGCGCCCTTCTAACTCAGTATCCTTGAATATCTTTGTTATAGCCCATTATCCCCACCCCACCCCCATCTACTACAAAATGATAACCCAAAAGACAAGATGGCAGCTACCTTAGGGGGAGGCTCCCAGGGAACTTCCAAGACCTAATAATGTTTCTTAACCTGAGTGAATAGGACACCAGTATTGGTTTTATTCTTAGTCTTCTTGATAATACATACGTATTTTACACACACATTTTTGTATGTTTATATGTGTGTATGAGTCATTCCACAATTTAAAAAGAAAGTTAAAAATACAGTAATAATGAGGGGCACCTGGCTGGCTCAGTCAGTAGAGCGTGCGACTCTTGGTCTTGGTGTGATGAGTTCAAGGCCCATGTTGGGTATAGAAATTACATTAAAAAAAAAAAGTAAAAAAGAAATCCAATGTGTAATAAAAATTAAATGAAATGTAATGGCCCGTAGCCCTTCTAAAGTCAGGACAAGAATTTCTGTCTCTACCACCAATTAACATTGTACTGAAGGTATTAACCAAAGCAATCAGACAAGAGGAAGAAATTAGATCTATAAAAAGTAGAGAAGAGGAAGTAAAACTTCTGCTATTTATTGATGGTATGATCAAGTACTTAGAAAACCCAAGAGAATCAACTAAAAAACTGCTATTAGGAGAACTCAGGGAAGTGATAAGGTAAACAGTTACCTACAGAAATCAGAAGTCTATGCACACAAACACATAAACAGCATTACGGGGACCATCCTCATACGTGTCCTCTTATGGACTCATGTAGCATTTGCCTTTGATATGTGCTCTGGAGCAAGACTGCTAGGTCAGAGCGTTTACGTGTATTCTTCATTTGATTGAACTGCCAGATGGCTCTCCAGAACAGCTGCACGAGTGGACACATCTACAGCATCCTTGCCAGCATTTGCCATGTACCCCAGAAAAGGTGCTTCTGCAAAACCAGGGCTAAACCAAGAAAGAGGAAGACATGGGATCTAGGAAATAAGGATTCTAATTGAAAGCGGTGAAAGGAATCACCAGGATGTGCAACAGGCCTAAGTTGGAGCGGAAGGACGCAAGGCTGTGGGAAGGAGGGTTCCAGGAAATTAGTAGGCGAACCACTGCATTTAAGTGTTCTGAAAATATTACATTGATAGGTAATTGAAGGATCTGTTGGAGACTTTAGGGAAATTTTTTATGAAACAAAAACAATGCAAACATAAACACAAAGCAGAATACCAAGAATAACAGAATAACTGGAAGTTACTAGAAAGAGTGGGGGGCATGTAATGGCAAACTTCCTGGCTCATCATTGAGCAATTGTTACATGTGCTTGATAATGTAAACACTGATTATTGATTTAGCCAAAGTTTATCATAAGCTATGAGAGGATGGGGAAGCAGACTCCGGGGTTGGTGGTGGTGAAAGAGCTAAATCTTCATCTGCCGTAACAGGAGTCAGTAGTATCAATTGGTCATTTACAAAATAGCTGTGTAGGCCTATGACTTGGAAACTGCTGGAAGAGTGAGTGGTTGCTGGTGTGTAGCAGGGTAGAGGAAAGGGGGTGGTGGGGCAGGGACTGCTATTTTTCATCATGTTTTTTAGAACAATTTCTGCCTGGGTGGCTCAGTTAAGCGTCCGACTATTGATTTCGGCTCAGGTCATGATCTCAGGATTGTGGGATCGAGCCCCATGTGGGGTTCCACGGTGGGAGCCTGCTTGGGATCCTCTTTCTCTCTGCCTCTGCCCCTCCTCCCCCCAAAAAACTTAAATAAGTACAGCATTCTGTATGTCAAACATACCTCAATAAAGTGGTTTAAATGCATATATCCTGAAACAGGTATTTAACAGCAATACAGATTCACAGTGTATGTTACACCTAAAGTGTTAATCAGATTCCACTGAACTAGGAAGCATATTCAGTATTTATATGACATTATAATAGAGGAGCATTAGATTTTGCCTTTGCATATCCAGAAAACCTTTTAATCTGAATTATCTTCACGAGTCTCTAGAAATCTTATAATTATCCAGTTATCTCTACATCTATATGTGCCTTAACCCCAGAGAAAGCCCTGTAAATAAACATTAACAGTATTCCAGAACGGATGCGTAACTGGGAAGTATGAGCTGCCTAAGTATGGTTATGTCGAGTCTTACACCAACTTGACGAACAGTTACTGGCAATAGGTGAATTATCAGTCCCCATAATAGCAGTATACACCCAATCCCTTTGCCGTGGCCTCAGGGCCTCAAGTCATTCTTTACCCCTTCATGTCATATTTGGCCATGCGACTTGCTTTAGTCAGTGCTAGTGAACATGTTATGAGCAGAGGCTTGAAATGCGCTTGTACATAGGCATGTGAGCTTGCACTCTTACACTCCAGTAATCTGCCAGGATAAGAGCTTCCCTCTGATAACTTCAGCCCAGGTCCCAGAATGCAACACATGCAACGGAGCTGCTCCAGAGGCCTGCAGCCTGAAGCAGAACAGCCCCAGCTAACTCTCCTTTGCATGCACAAGAAATAAATGCTTATTGTATACTTCTGAGCTTCTGTGGTGGTTTGTTACCCGGCATTATTGTGTCAATATCTGACTAATACATATTCCAAGTTAATCTTTCCTAAGTTCTTACTAATACATGTCACAGAGCTGAAAAATGAGATTGTATTTTGGTCTGTAATTGTGCCACAGATTGGGTCCTCCGGGAAGCAGATGCTGAGGAGTTCGGAGTACAAAAGGTTTATTGAAGAATAACACCTGTGAAGGAAAGAGGGTACCATCAGACAGCAGTGCAGGCCTGGCAGAGTCCCAGCCAGCCCAGGAGGGAGCTCTAGAGCAGATCCTTGATGGAGAGGTCCTGGGTCAGGGGGAAATGGCTAGACCCTTGTACTGCTGTCTGGCTCAGTCATTGACTAGGGACTACCCAGAAAAGACAGGGCCCTTAGCTACCATGGCTTGCCAGTCATTGGCTGGGAGATGTGATCAGTAATTCAGAAAGAATATACAAAATGTATCTGAAATTAAGACATCCAGATTCAAATGTGTCTCGGCCACTGTGTTGTAGCGCACCACGTTGTTGTAATCAAATCGTTCTTATAATATGTTGACTTACTAATGACAATGTGTGGGGGCTCTGTCACAGAGCACTTGTTTCTGAGGTGGTTTTGCTGCTGCTGGGGTAGTGTCGCGTGCCGGGCCGCATAAGGATAAGGTGCATCGGATACAAATATTTGCATTCCAGTAGACGTAGGATGTAGAAGACACAGGACTTTGCACACGGATGTACTTGGCTCCTTGCAGTATTGCTACTGGTTCTTGCATAGGACACGAGAATTCTGATCAAATCTATTTCCTGTAATTCCCAGCAGAATAAAAAATGTGTGGTGTGTTTATAGTTGCGGTCACTGCGTTACGGAGTATATTCCTAACAGAAGGGATCTTCTGTCCTGATTAGGCATTGATAAGAATTGAATCCACTTACATCTCACACCTCTGGTAACCGGGAGCATTTTCCACCAGCTACCTTCTGGCTTCGTGGGTTTCAAACCTTGCTTCTCCCCAACTTCTCACACACTTCTGTTGCCAGGTGCCCTGGGGCCCATTCACATCCCTGAAACCTCTGGCCCCACACCCTTGGCTACACAGAGAAGCCACTGAGCCACGTCCACAACAGCCCACTACACCTAAACTAACTATAGCCATCCGACAGGAGAAGTGGAAATGGAACAGAAAGAGACCGTGGTCTTAGCCATTTGCGGTGAAATAGCTGAATTTTTCAGAATTTACAAAAACATGAGCACATTGCTAGGACCTGCCAAGGGGCCCAGGCTGGTGAGGGACCCTCCATGGCAGTTCCAACTCCACTTAGTTTCACCCCCCCCCATGATGGTAGCTGCTCTCCAAACCACACCAGCCCCCCCTCCCACGCCCACATCTGGCCCACAGGACTTCCCCTTCGACCGCCTCCCCTTGTCTCCACTCTGTTCTTCCCCACAAGTACTTTTGGGTCCTTCCCTATACGGCCGTGGCACCTGCCCGTTGCCCTGGTGAGGCCTCCAAGAGCCTAGCCAGCAACACAGCAGCTGTGGTGAAGACTCTGAACAGTCACCCATTAATCATTTTGTTACCATTGCATTATTTGGAGTCAGATGTTGTCTCTTTTTTACTTATGCCCATTATCCTGTCCTCCGTATTTCAGATGAGAGCCCTTCAGGTCAGGCCCACCTGTCTCATCAGCCTCTCTGGGCTCAGCATCCCAGGTTTGTCGACAGCGGCCTCTGTCATTGCTGCTCAAAGTGCCGATCTGCAAGGAGGAGAGTTTGCACGGGAATGGGAGTCTTCTGCATCACAGCACACACTGTCAAGGTCAGCTGACTGTTCTGGTAGCAAGCTTTCCCAGTGAAGAGGCAGAGTGTTGATCACGTCCTGGGGCGAGCCGTCGGGTAGCAGTTTGAAAATTGGCCGCCAGCCCACAGATCATACTTTGAGGGCCACTGTCTTTGATGACATGACTTGGGGTCTTAGGAGGTTTGTAAATACCCTCTCGTTTCCCTGCCTGGACTCAGAACTACTTGAGAGAGGTAGGAGTTGGACAGGTGGAGATTAAGCTAATAGCTTTATTACTGAAAAGCTGATTAGAAAGGGCTGTCCATCTGTGGCCAAAGGAACTTTCCTTTGAATTCATCTCACTCACCCTGAGGTGGGCCCCTCCTTAGGGCGGGATGCCTGCTCTGCAGGAGGGCAGTCAGAAGAGGATTGGTTTGAGTGTGCTCCATCCACCTCCCAGATATCACCCATCATTTCCTCTGGGAGAGGAGGAAAGGGGGCAAGGTGGGATGAGAGGCCAGAAGTGTTAGGTCGGCAGTGGTCACAGGTCCTTAACCTGGAGTCCATGGCTTTAGAGGGTGTCTGGAGTCCCTGAGATTGAATGGGGTGTGTGTGTGTGATTTTTCTAGAGAGTCTGCAGCAGATGTTGTGGATCCTCGGCCAGATCCCTTTAACCCACTGCTGTGAGTGTTCCTACCCACTTCTTTGATGAATCCTCCTTGGCCTACAGGGAGCTCCTGGCCAGAGAGACTATACCTGCTCCCCACCAGGGGAAATTGACTGACTTGGGGTACAGAGGCCACCCCTTGCCTCCAGGTAGGAACAGCTCTAGTGCAATGCAGGGTCCAGGGCAGCTCAGGAGATCAGGCAGAAGCTAGTCCTCAGCTGAGGCCACTTCTTGCTCAGCTTTTGCCTCCTGCCCTAGCTTGCTTTCCTCACTCCCCTTCTCCTTGGAGCGCTCCTTCCATAAATTACGTATACAGGAACCCTTGTCTCAGCCTTGGCTTCCAGCAGTGACGGGATTCACAGTCCTTGGCTCTCCTCAGATTCTGCAAGTGGTTTATGATCCCATTGTGGGTTGAATCCTGGCCCCAAAAGAGGTATGTCCACATCCGAATCCCTGAAACCTATGAGTGTCACCTGATTTGGGAAAAGGGTCTTTGCAGATATAATGAAGGATCTTGAGATGAGATAATCCTGGATTAGCCAGGTGGGCCCTCAATCCAGTGACAAGTGTCCTTAAAGAGACACACACAGCGGAGGTGGCCCCGTGAGGACAGAGGCAGGGGCTGGAGTGGGAGCAGGTGACCACAAGCCAAGGAAGGCCTGGAGCCAGCAGAAGCTGCAAGAGGACGGGAAGGATCCTCCCGTAGAGTCTGTGCAGGGATCACGGTCCTGCCGCACCTTGATGCCTGACTCTGGCCTCCAGGACTGTGAGAGAAGAAATGTCTTGTTTCAAGCCCGCCCCCGGTTGCGATCATTTGTCTCGGCAACCACAGGACATGAATACCTTCAAAAGGTTAAAAATTCCCTCTAGTTGTCGAAGCTGCAGTCCTGCCACGTGGAAGTATGAGTGTGTGCCCGGGCCGGTGGCCCCCTGCCCCCCACGCACATCACTGGCATGTCCAGCTTCCCATCCCCAGGCCCTTACAGGGCCGAGCTTACCAGGAGCCTGTGTGCTGCTGACGTGACGGTGCATGGTGGCTGCTCTTCCGTCTATGACAGGGAGTGTAGGGGACTTCTCAGGGCTGTGCTCACTGCCTTGGCCCACCCCCTCGTTCTTCTTGCTCCGAGAGATACCGTAAAGGCCGATTTTGTTTTCCTTAGGATTTCCGGCAAACCACAGCATGGTCTTCCTGACGGTATTTTTCAGGATTGTGTCATGTTCCAGGATTCAGCTATGATGATGCTTTCCTTCCTCTACATTTTATCCATCCTCTCAAAAAATTAGCTCAACAGAGAGCTCATGCTAGCACACTGGACTCCTCTGTTCCTTCCCTCTTTTTATCTCCATCATGATTATTCATGATTGTATAATCAGGATTTCTCTTTAGAAGCTCCTTACTTGATATTAGCTGACAGAACAAAAGGTTCTTGATTAAATGGTGACTCTTTTCTGCTCACTGAAAGTCAAAAGCTAATGAAGTACTTTGATCAAAATGAATTTTGATATCCATTCTATGAAAATAGCAAAAAAACTTCCAGGAGCAATCAAATGGCTGTGTGGACCGATGCTTTCAGAGGTCCGGAACCATCGATCAGGAGGTCTGTTTCTGAACAAGGAACTGGAAAAGCCAGATCTGCTCACGCCAGAGCACAGATGGGAAGTAAATGCCTTCTAGGGGCTCCTGGTTCACAGGAGTGCCCCTCCCCACCCCCGACCCTTGCAGCAGCTTTCTCATTGTCTCCCTGTGCCCAGGTTTGTGATCCCCAAATCCCAGTTCCACCAGCCTCCATGATCTACCTACAACACAGATTTCCATGTGGCCTTCCCTGCTCCCCACTGTCTCCTGTAGGATAGAGACCACGCTCCCCACACGCAGTCCCAGGCCTTCCAGATGGGCCCTGCCTTCCCACAGAGTGTGCTCCCACCCCACTGCCTCTCACCTTTATACCTCTGCACGTGCAGTCCCCTCCTCTGGCGTGCCCTTCCTCTGCCCTGACCAGATCTCCCTGACCACTCAGCTCCAGTGTCATGGCCATTGGGAAGCCTTCTGGCCCTCACTGTGCTCCCATAACACCCTGAGCCTATTTTTGTCATGGCGCTTACATCAGAGTATACAATGATCTATTCTTGTGTCTGTCTCCCCAGCACTGAGTTCCCAGGGCAGGAAGTGCATCTTGTAGATCTCTGAGTCCCCAGATCTAGATCAGTGTGTGTCAAATGAAGGATGAATGAAATCTCTTGCCTCCTAGAAGGAGTATCAGGGGCTCAGTCTCACCACCCTGAGATCATGACCTGAGCCGAAATCAAGAGTTGGATGCTTAACCAACTGAGCCACCTAAGCGCCCCCATATTCTGTATTCTTTCATTTACCCTGTAAATTATCTTGGAACGTTTGATACTTATGTTCTGTTTTGTTTTTTTTTAGATTTTATTTATTTATATGACAGACAAGCGAGCACAAGCAGGGGGGGCAGCAGGCTGAGGGAGAGGGAGAAGCAGGCTCCCCACTGAGCAGGGTGCCCGCAGCGGGGCTCCATCCCAGGACCCTGGAATTATGACCTGAGCCAAAGGCAGACGCTTAACCAACTGAGCCACCCAGGCACCCCTACTTATGTTTATTTTATCCAGAATAAAAAGAAACTAGAAATGTTTATAATAAAAAAATCTAGGGCACCTGGTGGCTCAGTTGGTTAAGCGACTGCCTTCGGCTCAGGTCATGATCCTGGAGTCCCTGGATCAAGTCCCGCATTGGGCTCCCTGCTCGGCGGGGAGTCTGCTTCTCCCTCTGACCCTAACCCTTCTCATGTGCTCTCTCTCTCAAATAAATAAATAAATAAAATATTAAAAAAAAATTTATTTAACTTTTTCATTATTTTTATACATCCACTAAGTTCTAAAAATTATTTGAGGCAAGTTATAATAGAAGAAAAAATATCAAACCATGAAACCCCCACCAGCAGAGACTTCTTCTGTCCTGTTGCCCAGGACCAGGTCATGTGGCCCCCTGACCGCTGAGAGTTGGGGAAGCTCAGCTTCCCCAAGGGGAGAGGCTGTTGGAAATGACTGAACAGACAGCCAAGAGTGTCTGCCACTGAATGTAAATAGCATCTACAAGTCATTAATCAGATTCCTTTCTTGTTCACCCCAGGAGTCCTGCCTCACTAACAAATAAGGTTCCATCTCTTCAATTTGTAAGGCACTCTGAGCGCTTCCTAAGAAAGCAAATTCATTATTTTTTCGAGATCCTCCCCACGCCCACCCAACACCAAACTCCTGGGAACGCTGGTGCGTCGTTCAAAGTTCCTTTGGTTGCCAAAAACAGGAACCTAGCTCCCAGTAGCGTAAACGCAATGGGCTTGTGGCCTCCCAGCGCCGAGCTATGCGAGACACAGGGGCTGGAGCGTGGATTCCCTGCCTGCATCTTGAAAGCTTCTCACTGTTTCTCATCTCCGACTCTCCCTGGTGGCTTCAGTATAACGTTGGATATGAGAAGGAGAAATAAGCTCTTCCCACAAATTCCAGCGAGAAAACACCCGGGGAAGGGCTGTGATTGGTGCGACAGCAGTCTGATCCTGTCCCAAACCAGTCACCACGGCCGGGCGCCCACCCTGCGGAACTATGCTGGGCCACTCCGCCAGAGTCCCAGGCTCAGTGGGTCAGGAGCACGGCCCCGTGAGCAAAGGAGAAGGAACGCGCGCTGAGCTGAGCAGACAGTGGCCGTCCACCACGCTGACCGGTGACCCGGTCCTCCCGGCCACCCCTGCTGAGACTCGGACAGCCTGTGCAGGGCAGGAGGGCCCCACTCCCCGAAGCTGTTGCAGAAGCGACACAGCGTCCTGCAGACCAGGACAGTTCCAAGGCTGCTCAAGTGGGACTCTGTCCTCACAGCTCCCTGTGAGCAGCGATTCCTCAGGCTGTGGCAAAGGCACAGTCCACCCAGGCCATGCTCACACCCCACTCAAGTCCCCTTGGGGCTCCAACAAACTGCTCTGTGGCCCTGGGCGCTTCATCATTTTCCGGGGCGTGTCCAAGAGCCAGCCACTGCCCAGGATTCCTGCCTCGCCTCCTCTCCCCAGGGCAGAGGCCCCCCCTTCCTCCTGGTCCCAAGCTCAGCTCCATTTCCTAATCCAGGGGGCTTTTCATTCCTTTTGGGAAAACCCCACTTTGTTATATTGGCTTGTTCATGGGACAGTTTCCTTCGTAATGAAGCATCAGCCCCTCCTAAGGGGCTCTTTGTAATGGTGCTGCTTCTGAGACCAAGCCAAGGGTGGCCCATTAACAACTCAAAATCCAATGGCTCAGTCGGTGAAGCATCTGCCTTTGGCTCAGGTGATGATTCCAGGGTCCTGGGATTGAGCCCCTGCTCAGCGGGAAGCCTGCTTCTCCCTCTCCCTCTGCCTGCCGCTCCCCCTGCTTGTGCTCGCTCTCTGTCTCTGTCAAATACATAAATAAAATCTTTTTAAAAAAAAAAATCCACTGCCACTTCTTGAGCACTTACTATATACAAGGCATCTCCCCTCCTTCATCTAATTTAACCCCCCAAATACTCGCAGGAAGTAGGTATAATCAGTCCCGTCTGACTGATAGGAGAAACTCTCACAAGGCAAGTGTGTGACAGAGCCTGAATGTGAACATGGTTTTTGATCCCAGGGCCCCTGAATACAGAGTATAGAAGTCTGTGATCTGCAGGGGATGAAGTCACGGAAGCACTTGGCTCACTGAGGTCTACACACACACACAGCTGTTTAGTGCAGGAATCGCACCCACCACGTGTGCATACGTCCTGGGCACCATCAGCCATGGCCTCATGGGATTCCAAGAGCAAAGAGCCTTCGGCCCCTAAAATCAAGTTAGCCCCACCTCCCTCCCTGCTCAGAGAGGCACCGACGCCCATTCCAGGCTGAAGGAAAATCTGGCATGGGGCCACAGAGAGGCAGCCTGTCTGGCCCAGTGAGGTGCCTTCCTAAGGGACTTTCAAGGGGGATTGCCCAGAGCCATGAACTTCTGAACCCAACCAGAACCTTACACCCTTCAGGGCAGCTTGCCTCCATCATCAGCATGGAGCTGTGATGGGGCCTGGGAAAATACACAACAAGTTCCGGTTCCAGCTGCAAGCCTTCTAGCCCAGACCAAGAGAGAGTGCCTGACCCACAGCGGAAGTGCGACCTTCCTTGGTAACTCAGGCAATGCTGATGAGCCCAACAGCATCCTCGAAGTCACCCTTAAGACCCGTGTTCGAATGCCCAAGTAGGCAGAGAACATGCTATGTATTTTAATCCGCTGGACCATTCCCGAGAAAGTCGAAGGAAGCCAGGGTGTGCCCTGCTGGGTCAGGTCTGCGCTCATCCTGCACCCCTAACAGGGCCTGGCACGTGAGTTAGATGTATTTCTGCCTAATACAGGCGGCGTCCCTCCCTCCAGCCACTGTGGTTTGCTCTGTTGCCAGCTTGCCCCCGGGTGACTTGGTGGCCACGAACCCAAGGCAGGCTCCCAGCTGGTTTGGTCGAACACGTTTCTTACTCACGCCTAGGGAAGCCCTGGCACCAACCTCACGGAGATCTGCCTCACCATCACCAACAGATGACTCCACGATGTGTTTGTGTTGCCACCGGGGCTCTCGTTCACCGGCACCCAAAGAAAGCCCTGACGGTCCCCTGGGTGTTGCACGCGTGTGTCCTGATCCAGCGCTCGTCTCCCTGCTCTCAGCTCCTCGGGGTCCCTGTGCTCCGCGCCACTGTGTCCTCAGGCTTCCACTGGAGATAAGACAGATGGAGAGAGTCCTATGAGAACAGCAACCGTTCATGTCGTTTATATTGCTAATGGCGCATGGACCACGGCTCGACATGGCTATTCTGAACATTTCTTTTTTTTTTTAAAGATTTTATTTATTTATTTGAGAGAGAGAATGAGAGACAGAGAGCATGAGAGGGAGGAGGGTCAGAGGGAGAAGCAGACTCCCTGCCGAGCAGGGAGCCCGATGCGGGACTCGATCCAGGGACTCCAGGATCATGACCCGAGCCGAAGGCAGTCGCTTAACCAACTGAGCCACCCAGGCGCCCCTATTCTGAACATTTCTACCTAAGTTAGCCAGCCATCCAGCCCACCTGGCGGGGCCACAGAATGGCAAAACAATGTCTTTATCTTTCTCATTCATCCCCTTGTCTGCCTATTCTTTCAGAAGTGCACCTCCTGGGGACCCGCTGCAGGCCCTAGCAATGTGCAGGAGGGTCCCAGGTCCCTGCCTGCAGTGCACATGACAAATAACCACGATACAGGGCTACTGCACCTGCACGAAAAAGCACCATGGGAGGAAAGAGGAGGAAGACAGTACCAGTCCCGTGGCTCCCCGAGGAGGTGGCTCCAGAGCCACACCTTCAGCACCTACTCACGGAGAAAGAACACAGGTGGGAGGAGGCGTGCAGGGGTGTCTCGGGAGAGTGGTGGTGTCGGGGGATGAGCCCCAGGAAGGCTGTACTGAAGACTTTGGACTTGATCCTAAGGTCAAAATGAACCACGGAAGGAGCCGAGCCATAGAGGGACTGTCACATTTGGTGCCTAGGGATGTCCCTCTGGCCTCCGGTTAGACATGGGGTGGGACATTTGTCGTCACCTCTGCTCCTCCCGTAGCCCCTCCGCAGATGGCGGTAAAGATGAAACATGCATGTCTCACACAGAACGGAGGAGCAAGACAAGAAAGCAGCAGGAGGGCGCAGTGAACCGAGTGTTGGGTGGCAGGACGCAGACGGACAGGCAGTAGCTGGCCTTACCTTCGTCGCCCGTGTGGTCACGGCCCCCAGCCTGTCCAGTGCCCTCGGGAATTCGAACAAGAGAGGGAAGTACTACAATACCAACTGGAGAGTTTTTGTGATTTGTGGGTGAGGGCCCAGCAGTGTCAGCATCTCTAGAAACGGACTTCACGGGTCAGGAAACTGAGGCCCACATAAGTTATCTCCCCAAGGCCCCATAGCCTGATAATGGAGCAGGGATTCAGACCTGTGCCTGTAAAGACATGAAAAGATAATCTCTTCTAATTTTTATCTTTAAACGTCTATTAATGAAATAATTATTTAAAAGTCCCCCCTTTTGGAATACTACTCAGCCATCCAAAAAAATGAAATCTTGCCATTTGCAACGATGTGGATGGAACTAGAGGGTATTATGCTAAGTGAAATGAGTCAATCAGAGAAAGACAATTATCATATGATCTCACTCCTATGTGGAATTTAAGAAATAAAACAGAGGGGCGCCTGGGTGGCTCAGATGGTTAAGCGTCTGCCTTCGGCTCAGATCATGATCCCAGGGTCCTGGGATCAAGCCCCATATCGGGCTCCTGGCTCAACGGGGAGCCTGCTTCTCCCTCTCCCTCTACCTCTCTCCCTGCTCATGTTGTCTCTCTATCTCTGTGTCTCAAATGAATAAATAAAAAATTTTTTAAAAAATTAAAAAAAAAAAA